GAGTTCAGCTCCTCTCACCTCTTCCTTTGGTAGAAAGACTATCCTTTCATCCCACCATTCTAAACTCTTAGAGTTTCCAGCAGTTGTATTCTTCCTCCCAGGTTCTGTTTCTGCTATAATTCACTATCTCTCAATGTTATTTTCAATAAAAACCAGCAAAAATATGCTTAAAAGAGAACATAAAGTTGGGCTGTTGGACACTATCAAATTATCAGAAAGCACTATGGAGTCTTCATAAATTTCAGAAACAACCAATTAACAAGCTACAGTGACAACCCAACCGAACATTTTCAGAACTGAGACACTTACCCTTTAGTTTGAGGTCCACATTGTGTCGCAGCCAAGGATAAACACCATAATTTGACATGTCTTCAGGAATAGGGTGATTATATATCCAGCCATCACATGCAAATCGATAGAAGTTCTCACATGGATCTACGGATTGATTTATCTTGCTCAAGATGCCAGCAGCTGCGAAAAAGACACCACAGAGATTTTATGGAACACATCTTCCTAAACAGTTAATTACATGAGGTCACAGTCCAGAAACTATTAACATTTATCACTCTCTGCAACGTGATGCTGACCTTACTTGCAAAGCTAAGTCTTGCTGTTCTAGGACTGACACTGATCTCTGCCATTTTTTTAAGAGCAACAAAGATACCAACCAGCTTCTCTATCTAGCCTCGAACAGTGCCCACATGGGAAGCAAGAAAAAGACAAAAAAATCCTCAATGAATGTTCTTGAGTGCTGTACAGCAATGACCACTGAACCTAGCATTAGAGGGTTGTGAACTACTGGAGCCAGACACTTGAAGATGGGATCTCCACTGTCACCGTGATGGAAATAGTTGCCTGAGAAACTGAGTAGCAATAAATATCAAACAGATTGTAATTACCATTCCAGAAATTATGCACTGTTTACCTTTAGCTGAATAGCTTCACAAGAAAACAAATCAAGTTCAGATCTACCATTCATTGGAAAAGACAATAGTCGCATTTTCAGCTCCATTTTGTGACTGCATCCCCACCAGCTATTGCAGGTGAGACTGGTAAGGCAGAGATCAGTCTGACAAGCCAGAGACTTCATAACTTTGGAGTACGTAGTCAAATGAGTGTGCATCATGGTTATTGTGGCATAAATATACATGGGTCAAGTAACATGGAGTATGTGGATACTGGACATTTTTTGCCTAAATGACCATGTGTTTTGAGGCTTATCTAAATAACTGATTAAAAATCCTAGCAGGAAATATTGTAACTTTTACAGAGTTTATGGTACTACTTCTAGCACCCATTAACCCTTCTTCATCCACTCAGAGTAACTCTACCTATGATATATTTATGTCTCAGCTGTAATTCTCTCTCTTACATTATAAACTCTCTAACTGACTACATTGGAGACATTTTGATCCTTAGCAATTCTCTGTCACTGAAAAGCTGTTCAGCAAGGCAAGGTTCAGGTCTCAAAACACTATGTAGTCACTACACAGCCCCCTCTGAACTAAATCAGTCAAAATAATGTAACTATCCAAGTCTGATGTTGTGCCAAATGCCAGCTTCTGCTGAGGTTACAAAAAATGTGTTATTTCATTTGTACATGAGAAGAAGAACGACAAGTCATATTCAGACTTCTTTTTGCTGTTGTTGTTCTAAAGCTGAAGATGAAGCCTTCACATGTTTTTTTGTTGGTATTTTGGGTTGGTAGTGGTGGTATTTTCATTTGTCATCCCACTTTACTTACATATTTCTGTTTATTCAAGAACCAGCGCTGGAGGGTAGTGGCCAAGAGTACTATCAGTGTAGTGCAGAGCAGAATGACAAGAAACATCCTGGTAATGAGAACTGCAAATTTTTCAACTTACAGAGCCCCACAGAATTTCTCAGGATTTCAAACACACACCAAACACCTCACAGTTTCAGCTTAATATGGTTCCAAATGGAAATAAATACTCTTATAAGATCTCTAAGTGTCCACTTTGTTGACAATAAAACAGTTGAGGGAGGGAGAGATTTCAAGATTTGGTAACTATTTTTTTTCTGTGCTCTCTTTACACTCAACGATAAAGCTCTCCTTGATTCAATGGGAACAAAGCTCTGTTTTGGTTTCCTATTTAAAAAATAATAAGCATGATGGGATTCTTTGAGATAACCCAGGCAGTATTGATTTAAAATTATTTAAAACATGAATTTTAATCGTAGAAAGTAAACAGATATGCAGCAACTTAAACAATTACTTTTTTAAAAGGTGAGTAATTTTTCCCCTCATTATTAATGAAGTTTTCAAAGTAAAATGCTTCACAGAAAAATTATGCACAGTATAAATATCTCATTAACATACTATAATCATGATATAATAGGATAAAATTGTTGCTTACCAACTTCAATGCATTCTGAGGTCAAACAGTACTGTTGCTTCGAATGAAGCTTTATAAGACCTTGGCTAGCTGCAAAATGGAAAACCATAATGAGATCACTTGTAATGAATTTTGACCACAGCAGCTGCATGTTGTATACTGGATCACTCAAATGTCACTGCAGACTCGGGCCCTAATGAGGCTCTGCTTGCATTGATTTAAAACTGTTAGAATGTATGCTAAGTAAATATCGCAGCTCGTAGCAAATTGTTTTCCCCTCCTGTGCCTGCTTCCTTCTTCCTCTGTGTTGGTTCATAGGCAGCATGGAGCAAGGCAGCATGGAGCAAGGCAGTATGTCTCTCCCTGCCCATTTGCACAGAGCCTGGAGTAACAACACTGCAGCCTTACTGACAGGCAGTGAGTACCCCACAACACAATTAACCCTACTTGCTGTTATCCTCCAGAGAAGCACCATTCACAGCCGATGATGCCGTGTGGAGCTACCTAGCCATCTTCTGCAGGGCTTCCACAGTTTCTCCCAAGCTCACCCTGCCCTGCTGTACCTTCTGCAGCAGCACTGCATGGCCTGGTGCCACCCAGCACCAACAGGACACTTTCAGGCTCCCCTTCTGCCAGCTTGGGATAAATCAGAGGGCAATGGGCACAGGAATGGCTGTGGTTTATAAGGCACAACGTGGTTTCTGTCAGAACTGGCTTCCAAAAGTACTGCAGTTGTATTTGCTTCCCCAAACCTTGCTGACAAGAACTATGAAATTGTCAGTTAATTTTGCTCAGTTTTGAAAAGCATGTTTCAGCTGCCTCTGACACTTAAGCATAGGAGTTGCTAATTTCAGACTCTGCTGTCAGGCAGCAAATATGCAGATAATTGATATTCAGGATGAGAATGGGACAGTTTCAAGGGGTAGATTAAATAAGACTTAGTAGATGTGCTCAGTAGACATAAAGAAATGCCTCTCATCCATTATCTTAATAACTCAATAACAAAAAAAAAAAAAAACAAAACCAAAAAAACCCAGCAATGGAATATATTAAGGTATCATAGCTTTACCAGTGCTGATACTTACAAAGCAATTTCTCCTGTAGTTATATAGTATTCAAAAGGGATAGGAAAATGTGAAATGTTATTTAAGCACAGGAAAGTTTTACTATAAAAAACCTAATGCTTGAATTTAATACAAAGCTTTTTCATCTCTTCCAGCCTCCTAGCTTTAATAACAATTAATGACAAGAATGGCTGGATTTCAATCACATTTTCTTAGAAACTGAGAATGTAAAACTATTTCTTGACTTCATCAAAGCTTGCATTGACTCAGTGAAACACAACACCTCAACAACCTTTGTAAATTAGCCAAGAAATACATGAGATTTTGAGGCATATAAAGATTGGAACTGGAATATTGAACAGTAGAAAAGAGAGAAGTGTAGGTGCCCAGAATACCATTTCAAGACATGTGAACTGTAAATAATAGACAATGTGCCTATTAATTAAGTGTTGCACTCCTCCCAGTTCACATCTTCCCTGCTTTAAAGTTAGCCTTTTAGAAACTGTCCAGGTCTTTAAAGTTTGCTAGATTTTTTTTCTTAACAAAGAAGAGAAATGAGGGAAAATTCTAGACACTGTTTAACTCTTTTACACTTGATGGAAAATGAGGGAGAATAAAAAAGAATCCGTAGTGGCCCTCATGGTTTTGATTCTTATAAACAAAGCAAAATACCATTTCAGCTGGTTTGGTTCCATGTACAACTTCATCATTAAAGCAAATTAAAAATAATAATACTTGACAGTAATATTTCCCTTTTAACTAACAGCTTTCGGTTGAAAAACTTTCCCTGGTTTTGTTCTCTTGCCTTTTTGTTGTCATTAAGAGAACTAACCATCACATTATTAACTACAGTTATGGTTGTAACACTTAGTGTTTCAGTTTTTTCTCTCTTTAAGCCTGTATCCAGATTCTTAAATAAATATAAATTCTAATTCATATCCCCCCAAAAAAACCTGAAAGGGGAAATGGCATACAAATAAGCAGGTGCAATTAGTGTGGATGTTCCTATAATCTGAGAAGTTGAAAGGTCTGGCAAATCAGGAGCAGAGGCTACTGAATCGATGTTCAAAGCTGTTTTTTTGTTTTGTTTTGTTTTGTTTTTTTTCCCAAGGGAATTGGAGAGCAATTCAATTCCTTTTGCTCTGGCCTCAGCTCCCATGAATGAGGTGGCTCCTGTCCTGCCATAGCCCAAATAACCATCTAAAGAGCAGAGGGCAAAACCCCACGTGATGCCAGGTGACCTCCCTGGCAGCTCCCTGCTGAAGTCATGGTAGGGCTACAGCCAGTATGAGCAAGTAACAGTGAATACAAATACGTGATTCTCCCAAATTCTTCTTTGAGTTGTAGAAGCTCTGAGAAGAAGAAACAAAAGAAGCAGGAGAAGACTACATTTCACTCCTCAGGCTGGAAAATTAAAGGGAAATTGTTTCAGGTCTACCAGAAAATAATTTTTTGCAGAAAACCAAAGAAAAAAAGGTTATCTTGAGGTGCCTGAAATGTTCCACACAATCAGAAAAAATGGTTTCCTTCTCTACAGTTTAACAAAAACTAAAGAAAGAGTTAAACTCAAACTTACAAATAAAACACAGTGTCACAACGAAACATGGAAACATTGCATTGACAAAAAGATAATGCAAAACCATGTAACTTTTTTCCTTTATTCTTTTGGTTGAAAACCTCAGACGATATCCAAACACATCCTAAAAACATTTTGGTTGACCCAAAGCCAGCAATTTTATTTTCTTAGCAGTTATGCCAATGAAAATTTTGACATTGGATCCCTGGCTACTGAACAGGCCTAAGCACACTTAGAAAACTATCTTTAAGAATTAATATATTTACTTCAATTTTCACATCTGGTCTATGGACAAAGCACTTCAATCACTGACAAGCTATGGTGGCAAACATCTAATCCTTTTAAAAAACAATAAGTGAACATTCTAGTGCCAAAAAAACCCCCCAGAAATAAGGTCTGTCCATGACTCCCTAGTGTTTGATATTATATTCTTTAAGTGAAAAACATTATTGTTCATTTAGAAACAGTGTTCTACACTAACAAGTTGAAGATTCAATCTTGCTCATATTTATAGAGTTTTGTTGAACTGAGTGGGATCACTCTAATACATAAAAACTTCTTGCCTGCAAGTGTTTGTAGAATTTGCTCTATAGCAGTAAAGCACTGATTGTGAGCCTGGTGTTTTAAATATTCTATAGAAAACCTGTGGTAATTTTATCTGTTGTGGTGATAAATGCAAAAGGCCTTGCAAACAAGTTCACAAATGATCAGAGGGAAGCAAAAGATATGCTTAGAGGCTAAGTTCCCTCCAGTTCAGGGAAATCTGTGTGTCCCTAAAGAAATTAAAAGTTGGGCTGAATTATTCCAAAAGAGGATCTGTCTCTGGAAGTTCTTACAGGATACAATGCTGCTTTCTCTTCTCTGCCTGGTGGTTTGGGTGCATTTATATTTCTTCACATCATTTTATAGATGTAGGCATATGCTTCAATGTAATATTAAAAAAAAAAAACAACACTCATCTACAGATTCCAAATTCCAGAGAAGAAAAACTAATTCCTTCTCTATCATGTCCAGTTACAGCTTATAAATCTGATCAAAACATTTTAATTTCATCCCAGATGTACTCTATGATTTTTGCTAAGACAACTTTGCGATTCATTGTAGAAGAACAGAAACATCTAAAAAATGTGCAAGCATATGCATTATTGAAGCCTTCTACAGGAATTTTAGGCAAGCCCTAAATGAAAACCAAATGAAGGAAAACCCCAAAGATTCCACAAAATGTGTGCATATTCAGGAAACAGAGGATATTAGCCCACATTGGCATCAATCTGCGACTTGCAATCAGCACAACTGATGTGCATAATCCACCCATGTCTCCCCATTCTGCTAAAGAACCCAATTCTGGCTAGAACACATTCAACTGAGCATGCAAATTTAAATTCAGCATTCAAAAAGTTACTTGAGCTCACTTTGCACCTTCCAGCTCTAACATTCCCATAACAAATTCCTTCTTTTCCAGACACATTTCCATTTCAGGATAAATATAAAATGGGGGGGAAAGAAGCAGAGGCTGAGATTTTCACTAAAACACTCTGTGGAGCACAAACACTGGCACCGAGTGGAGAGGCTGGGGAGGGTCACATCCAGGTTAGCCTTGACCTTGTCACTTACCCAAGAAAAGTGCAGTGCCAAGCACAGCGGTGCTGCTCAGAAAGACGCCGAGGGCAATCCGTGTGGCTTTGCTGGCTCCTCTCCTGGCCTCGGGTGCTGTCTCTCCTTCCATCGGGATGGCTTGGGATGTGCTGGCTCTCACAGAAGTCTGGTTTTCCTCCACTGCTGTGGTATCAGTATTTCAACAAACTGCACCCATGAGCTCTCCTCCTCCTCCTTGCTCCTACTTACAACTCCAGGTTTCTGTTGTGAACCATTTCCTAGGGACTTCCTGCTCTCTCTCCCTCAAAGGAAAATCACAAGTAAAATAGAAGCTGTCTCCTACGTTTTCCTCTGACCAGGAGGAGGAAAGGCATGCGGTGACCAGGGTATGTACAGCCCTTGCTGCCTGTAGAGCCTCTCGGAGCCAATCGCTCAGCCGTCCCCCTTATCTGGGGTTCCGAACACGAGGATTTCACAACGTTGCGGAACAGATGTTTTAGCTATTCAAACATATAGCTGTAAACCCTTTACAATCAAAGCAGGATTGCTGAAAACTTTTACAAAGACAAGACTGACAGAAGGTTTTCTGTTTTCCCCTTGTGCTTATTTAAAAGGACTAATTATCTGCTGACTAAAGTTTCCTTCTCTTAAACCGTTCCCACTGCATCATTTAGCTTCAGCAGAAGCGATACCCACTCAGCAGACAAATCCTTTTTTAAAGCTTCCTAAGAGCTCTCAGAATATCATGTAGCATTTTATTTTGGGAATTTGGTATGTGACAGTGTGTGCCAAAAATCACAGTTGTGCAGCACAAAGCAATAATCAGCAGAACCTACACAATTGTGCTGTTTTAAAAGCTAGATTTTTAAATTTATTCATTTTTTTACAGGCAAGATATTTCGGTCCTTGCTGATGCACAATGAATCTTAAGAGATGATCCCATGCTTCCAAGTCAAGTACTACTATGAGCTTAGTGGAAAGTATCTACTGTGCAAGTAGAGGGAAGAAAGGCGTATGTCACGAGGTGTGTGTGATGGCAAAGTTATCCATTTGGAGACTGAATGGATTTTCCCTAGGAGCATCTGCACACAAGTTGTCCTGGATCTCACACGGACATAAAGGAAGAGCCCACTCCATCCACAAGAAGACTTAGAGTTTGAAGGTCCTGAAACCCTTCACTCCTCAACCCCCTCTACAGCCTGGATAAAATGCCCTAATTTCTTATTGCCATTCCTTTTCTCCAGCCAGCTTCAAAAGGACTCGTTTTTGCTTGGAAAAAATGGTTTCTTTTCACTTGCCTTCTTGACCCACATTTAACCCTCAAATTTTTACATCTATCAACTGAGGAAGAAGGAGGAAATGGTGCCATCAAACCAGGAGGACCATGTACCTCTCAGTAAAAGAGTTCCCATTTGTGCATGAATGACTCCATGGGTGTGAGCAGATCCCTGGCTATAAGCAATCCCAAGCACAAGTCTGTTACCAGCACACGTTGGATAAGATATTTAAGTGACTTTGGTGCTATTGAGTCTTCATATCAGAAATCAGTAGGAGGCTCAAAGGTGCTGCCAAAAGGGCAGGATGTTGACACAGAAAATGTATGGACATGCTGTGATCTCAACACTTAATCAATAATCCAAATGCTGAGTAAATTTCAGAAGAACCCTTTGACAAGCATTTGCTATAGGCTGCCTAATCATATTCCTCCTGTGCCAGTATTGAACCACCAACAGCACAAATGCTGAATAGCTTTTAGATTGACACATACTGTCCACCAGCTTTATATCCCCCCAACTTGAAGTTACCACATTCTTACTCAAATTTCCCCATACTTACTAACTTTAAAGTTTTGCTCCCTAGAGAAGTAATAGCATGTGCTGAATATCACGCTTTGTTAGTGTTCCATTACCAGCTTTTTGCTTGCAAGGTTATGCTCTCTTTATAGGACAACATCAGCCCACAGACAAAGAACAACTTCAACAGTGCAAAGCAGCAACCAGTTATTTCCATCAGGAAAACTGTGGAGGTGAAGAAGGAAAAAGGAGACAGGGAAGCATATAAGGGAGAGGCTGGACAATTCAGCCCCTTCTCCCAAACAGCCAAAGGGAAGGTGAGGGCTATGAGAACATGGAGATAACCCAGCAAGGACCAGCAAGCTCCAATTACAGGACTCCTCTGAAGAGTCAGCCCCAAGCAGTGCATGATCCTTTGGCAAGAAAATCACAAATCACCTGCCAGAAAAGGAATGATTTCTCTAAGTTTAGGTCTGCAGGCACGGTATAAGCATCCTTCCCTCTGGTTGTAGTCAATTACTCATCTTGGTTTCCCCACAGACAACAAACCATAGAGGTCAATTCCTGGCAGTATTTGAAGAGGTGCACCGAGCAAATGCATATCAGCTTCTGATACTGCTGCTCAGTAACAGAAGTTTGTTGAATTTGATACGTGTTTCTGAGGAGTGTGCTAGGATTTGGTTGCCTTACTCATCACAGCTCCAGCAGCTCTTTGGCAGGTACACGATACATGGCCATGCTGGAACTGCTAATAGCACTCCTGGCTATTATAGCCCAATAAGGCACTTAACGAGCCTGTGCAAACACTCTTTTAACAGTCATAAAACACTGAACAGACAGAGGGGAGGGGAAAAAAAAGTAGTAATTAAATGCAACATGGTCTAAATCACTTTTCATTCACTCAGAACTGCCTCTGACCAAGATCCCACTCAAACAATGGGATCGTTCTGGCATTTATAACAATGCCAGGGCAATGCACAAAGTTTTCCACCCAAACCCTTATGAAAGAGCTGGCAAACCCTCTGGAACATGCTCCAGGCTGAACCATAGCAATCCCAGATTCTAGAAAAAGTCCGTCTACATATGGAAGTGCTCCTGTATGAGCAGTCTTGTACTCTCACAAGCACCAGCACATGCTCTCTGTTTCATAAGCAGTGACAATTCTCACTTCCATCATTTATGCCAGAGTCAGGCAAGAGTGCTTGATCAGAGCTAAAATCAATAGTACTATGCCAGCTTCTCCCCACATAGTTTGGTTTATGGCAGTTCCCATTTCCTGAGGTTTGATTATTCAATAGACATACAAACCCCCACGTTTCACCTAGTTTTCACTGGCAACAGTCAAAACCAGAGTTACAGAGGTGTCAGTGAATGTCTGGAACAACAAAACTGCTCAAGGTCAGCACATGTTCAGCCCAAGCTTGCTGAAAGACCCACTGGCAATGAGTTTGAGCACTGCAAAACGTTTTGTCTTTCTTGCACTTAGGTAACTTCAAATGGTATTATAACAATTACTGATACTTTTAATGCAGACAGAAATAAAACAGTTTAGCTTTAATTATAAAAACAAAAATAATGCATGTAAAACATATTAGGTTATGCCAATACATTATTTACAAAAGACACTTCCTCAGAAGACACTGTCCTCATGGTGCCCACTAAAGACTTTGACCTAGTTGAAAGGCAACTGACAGGTTACCTTAAATGAATTAGTTCAGTTTGACAGAAGCAGTTTACAATCAAAGCATCACACAGCTTTGATGATGCCCTATTGAGCATTTTTAGCTCATGGTAAAAGGAAGAATATAGTCACTAACATCCTGCTGGAGGCGGAGTCACCAGCTACAGCTTGAATGGCTTCAGCAGAAAAGCAGAGGTGTATCTTGGCTTCATTTAAAGAGATAAATAGCAGGAGTCAGAGTACAGGTCATGTTCCCTTTCATTCAAGTGTTCCACTATGGGACCTTGAACTGTTTTTTCAAAATATGCAGCTGTTGTAGCCAGAATCAGCCAACTGGGCTTTATGTACAGATGACGTGCTTGAGAAAAACCCAACATGTTGCATTTGAAGACAGGTTGACCATTTGTCCTCAGATCTCTGAAACTTAAAAATTATGCTCTCTTGACTACAAACCCCCAGAATTTCTGTGCTGCAGCCAACAGCAACCACACGCTGGCACAAATCGGTCCTATATTCATGTGACAGATACAGCTGGAAATAAATAACTCCATTGTTTTCAACCAGTACATCCACATCACAGAAGGTCTTAGTGCAGCCATCAGAATGAGGGTAATTAATTAAGAGTCAACACAGAGCCTATAGGCCTTGCAGGGCTCTGAACTGCTGGTGGCAAGCTTTTCCCTTAGCTATAACTGCAACTGTGGAGAGAACACCCTGCAAAGCAGAAAACTTAGTCCTCCCAACACTTCACTCCCTAAATCAATTTTTTTTTAATTTATGTTTTTTTTATTCTGAGTAGGCTGAGCTATTCTCATTTTTCCAATAAAAACTTGTCCCCGCTGTAGGAAACATTGCATTCTCTGACCAAAAGGTGTTTGCATCTAACTCAACCAGCAACTCACTGTGAAAGCCAACATCTGGGATAATTAAAATTAAACCACTCAATTTTGTAAGCTTTTTTAGAGCTGCTTTTGAAAAAGCACTTTCATGAAACAATGCATATGCTCTCAAGCAGAAAGAACTACTGCTTTAGGTTTTCCAGCAATTTTCTTCAAGATGCAGATTAAATTATAGTTTAAAAAGCTAAAAGCCACATTCACACTCTAACAAGAGTGTGTTTGCATACTGCCATCCTATGTGCATAGTCTTCACCTGTCATCCCACTGTATAGATTAAACCTGGAGTCCATGTCCAGGGTACTTGCTGACATGGACTGCAGAAAGGCATGTTATTTGGGAATTAAGAGATATATAAAATACTCTCTAGTAATCCAGAGCTTGTGTTTTTGTTTTGGTTTTTTTTTCATGAGCCAACTGTGAACAGAAGTTGAAAAAGCACTGAAAAAGACACTGCTAGGAAATGTGAGATTTCCAACTGCCACAGTGTAGGTGCAGGGGTATAGACAGGACACATCTATCTCTTGTTTCTTTAAAATATTGCATCAGAGCTTTACCAACCTATTTTCCTCTGTCCAAATGTTAAGTCACAGCTGTGAAAGAGTATTCATATGAACAGTGGAACCAAGAAACTTGGTTTCCAATGAGTTTGTCTCATTGATGAATTTTTGGGTGTGTAGTGAGACATATATTCATCAACATTTGAAATCAAAACAAGGAGAGCCATCAGATCCATTTGGTGCTGCTCTCAACATCTACC